AAGAAAAGAAAAGAAAAGAAAAGAAAAGAAAAGAAAAGAAAAGAAAAGAAAAGAAAAGAAAAGAAAAAAAAAAAGACACTGCCCTGAGTGTAAGATACTCTTGCTGTACCAGAACACCTGCCTGTCTCTTGAGTCAGCTGTACCCACCCGACTGCAATATGGTTGGAACACAGAGGAGACTTAGAGACAGAAACCTAACCAGGTAATCTCTCCTGAAGAACTGGAGGCACGATTTACAAAGTATATTCTTGCAAGGAGTCTCGCAAGACTTACAGGATGAAATGAAGTTGGAAAATTCCCATTGCTATAAGTACCCAGATAGAAGGAAAAGCTGAATATAAAATCATCTCTTGTCTTCCCATAAAGCTTCCCAGGCTGAGTATACAGTTCTGAGGTAAAGAGCTTGCTTAACATTTATGAAGGCCAGGGTCTGATCCCCAACACTGAAAAAAAAAAGAAAAAGGAAAGAAAAAAAGTTCTCTTGAAAACTTTTCCCAAAAAGAACCTGTTCATTTGCATTGATTCACAAACTTTCAGTGACATACACATATTTTAAATTGCACATTATATAAAATATAAAATAATTTATATATTGATTTTGAACTATATTTCTCCAATTCACTCATTTAATTTTAAATATTTATTTATTTATTTGTTTGGTATATGGTCTCACTACTCAGCTCAGACTTGTGATCCTCCTGTCTCAGCCTCTCCAGTGCTGGGATTGCAGGCGTGTGCCACCACGTCCACTTTCAATTCAATTTTATTTATTTATTTATTTATTTATTTATTTATTTTGGTGGAACCAGGGATTGAACTCAGGCCCTTGTGTTTGCCAGGGAAGCACTTATTCCACTGAGCCATCTCCCCAGCCCCCTCAATTCAATTATTTTTAAGTGTATCCATGTTTCGCTGATATCCATTTTTTTCCACTACTAAAGACACACTTTGAGTCATGAAGAGTTCCCAGTATCTCATCTTCTTTTCCATTTAAGTTTGGATGCATCATTTTTGTATCCAAGCACAATGCTGTCTCTGAAATTTTCACTTTTAGAATAAATATCAGTTCCCAAAAGATAAAAGCAATGCTCTATCATTCTTAATTCTCACAACTATAAACAGTATATTCTCATAACTGTAAACAGTATATTCATTTGTAATTTCTTTGGTAAAAGATGTATTAACCATAACATCCAGAGCTAGGAGTCGTGACGCCAACCTTCTCAGCATAATTTATGAATCTGCGTTAAGAGAAAAATTTTAAACAACTCTGTACTCTAACCTTGACTAGGCTGTTTCTGATTGACATCTTCTGTACAAAGTACTTGTTTCAAAACAAAGTATTGCGGAATGGAGTGTAGCTCAATGGCGGGCACTTGCCTAGCATGCGCAAGCCCTGGGTTCTATACCTGGCACTACAAAATGAAGGGGAGAGAAGGGAAGGAAGAAAGGAAGGATGAGAGGGAGGAAGGAAGGAAAGGAGGAAGGACCTGAAGAAGTACTCTACTGCTTCCGAGATGCAACAAGGAATCAACTGAAAGTCAATTTCTTCACTTCTAACTGGAGACATAATTTGAGAGCTAGCAATTTTCCTTATATTTCAGCATAGTGTATCACCTTCTTGGAGTTTAACACTTATTAGCATACAATAGGAATGAAATCCACTTAACTTCACATAATTCAGAAATTTCCCCAAATTATTCAACTACATATTTGGTTTGTGCTTGTATTATTTTGGTTTTTGTTTAGTTTTTTGAGACGGTCTTGCAATGCAGTTCAGGCTGGCCTCGAACTCACTGTGTAGTCCAGTCTGGACTCAAACTTGTAGTGCTCCTTCTGCCTCAGTCTCCCAAGTGTTGGGCTTGGAGGAATGTGGCACCACACCCAGCCCTCATGGTGAGCCCCTTGGAAAAGAGCTTGCCTGGTCTGACATCATAAATTGATCAAATCTTTTGTTTACTTCTCACCTAGATTAAATTCACAATTCTTTCGATGGCAAGAATGTATATAAAATGCCATAGACTCAGAAATCAGGGGAGAAATCTTTTTTTAAGTGAATAATAGGAAATCTTAGCCATCAAAAACATCCAACAAGTAGTGATCCAGTGCCTTTGATAAGCTAGGAAGACAAAGAAAAAACATGCAGACTGTGACAGCGCAGACTGGGATAGGAACGGACCAAGGCCCCATCTTCAAACAACTCCCTGATCACAACTTCAAGGATCCTGTGCTCCCTCCGAGGAAGACAGTGTGAGAAGTTGTCCATCGAGGCACTGTGCCGGTTTGTTATAACCTCACCACCCGACAACGTGGCTGTCCCTCTTCTCTTTCAGATGTTCACTTCCATCATATTTGCTGCGATTGGATTCGTGGGCGCTGGCTACTCATTTGTCCTGTCAGCCGTCTCCATCAACCGGGGTCCTAAGTGTCTCCTGAGCAATGGCACGTGGGACTACCCCTTCAACAAAGGGTAAGGCTCCCCTGCAACGCCACGGGTCCCCACTGGGGGCACGCGCAGGTAAATCCCCAGGCAACACGATTTTCTTTATAGTCTCCACTGTGTGGCTCCCTGAGGCAGAGCTGGTGCCGTGAGTAGAGAGAAGCCATGCAGAATTCATCTGCAATTGCTTTCTTTTCCTCTCTTTAAGTGCCTTTAGCGACAGAGCCCAGGGCCTTGCAAGGTTAGGCGGGCGCTTTGCCTCGAGCCGCACCGCAGCAGCAGCCTCTCTCCTTGCCTTCTGACGTCCGGAGGGGAGGAGGAGATGCCAGCGCATCCAGGTATTTATTAGCAGCAACAAGCGAGCAGCAGCCGATCATGTTAATACACAGAGCAGGGGACGGGGAGATGGCTCAGTGGAATAAGCTCTTCCTTGGCAAGGGCCTGAGTTCAGTCCCCGGTTCCAGGAAAAAAAAAAAAAAGAGCGGCCTCCTTACAGATCTCTCAGGAGAAAATGAGAACGGTTACTCACCAACTGGGGTGAATTCAAGGCTTTCACTAGCTCCTAAGGTGCCTGCACAACGAAACAATCTGTTAAGGTACAAGTATACAGAAAAAGACATTGACAATGTTGTCGTTTCTTCACTGGGTTTGACGATCAAACGCATTAAAAAAAAAAAAAAAAAAAAAAACTTCATACTTTCGTAGTACTTTATAGGTTGCAAATAATGTTTTTCCTCACAAATTTATAAAGTGTAATCTCCATAGCAACCTTAAGAGATAACTGCTCTCTGCCAGGGAAAGTTTACCAAGTTGAACTTGTGCAGAATCGCCCAGTAGGGACAAAGATGGGGCCCAGCTCAGGCTTCTGACGTTGGGTCTTTCCCCGCGCTTGCTTGCCTGCCTGCTTGCCTGCCTGCCTGCCTGCCTGCCTGCCTGCCTGCCTGCCTGCCTGCCTGACTGCCTTCTTTCCTCCCTTCCTTCTTTCCTTCCTTCTTTCCTTCCTTCCTTCCTTCCTTCCTTCCTTCCTTCCTTCCTTCCTTCCTTCCTTCCTTTTTTCCTTCTTTTTGAGACAGGGTCTCACTATGCAGCTCAGGCTGGTCTTTTATAGCTCAGGCTGGCCTTAAACCTGCAGTAATCCTCTGCTTCAGCCTCCCACGGGCTGGGGTTGCAGGCGTGCACCTCCTCACAGGCTCACATTTTCATATTAACATCCTTTTGCCTGCAACTGCAGCACAGTAGCCTGCGGCCATCTGTGGCTATTTAAACTTAGTTGAAATGAAATAAAAGTTAAGCTTTGAATTCCTCAGTCGCACGAGCAGCCTCTCATGTGCTCACAAGCCATATGGGGCTTGTAGCAGCAGCACTAGTAGTGCAGACTGAGGGTGGATCCATCACCACGGAAGCTCTATCAGGCTGTGCTGACCTGTAGTGCTGTCCTCCCAGGCAGCCTGACAGTTGCCTTTGGTTCATCACCTCTGCCCCTGTGCCTCACACAGGGACTGACCCTTCCTCAAGGCTCAGGAAGTGGGGCTGTTGAGTCTTTCTGCAAAGCAAACGGGTCAACTGAAAGACCCCGAGTGTAGTTGGCCTTCGGTGTCCCCGGGTGGCTTGTTCTAGGATCCCTGTGGAAATACCAAAAGCTGCAGAGGCTCAAGTCCCTTGAGTGAAATGACACATTACACATCGCCCGCACAACCTTGCCCATGCCTCCTGTCATCCCAAGCTGTTCATGATATCTAATGAAATGTACAGCTATTTTACTCCATTGCATAGAGAGTCATGGCCAGTAAAAACCTGTACATGTTCAGTAGAGACACAACTTTTTATTATTGTTTCTCTAAGGTTGGTTGAATGCACAGATGTGGAGGGTGAGGGTGCAGAGGGCCAACAATGTGAACTCAAGCCCCTTTGTGTGAGCTACAGTGAGATCTGAAAGAATGTTGGGGAACGGAGAGGGGGAGGCACTGGTCCTGTGGCGCAGATCTCACTGGGCTCACTGGTGCCCCACACGAAGTCCCCACCTATTCTCATAGCCAAGGAGGACAAAGCCTCCGACAGCCTCCTGTCTCATGCAGGGGCTCCCTGGTGTTAGTTTGCCGTGGGAAGCCTCCTTGTCCTTCAGGGACAGTGGGGCTCCACCCATTGGGCTGGCTTGCTAGAGCATAGGACCAGATGTGGCCTCCCTCAGAGGTGTCTGTGGAGCTGTGGTTGGCGTCTTTCTTCAAGGACTTTTCTATTATTTCCACCATAACATCAGCACAGGGTTAGCCCCATGTTCCTATGATATGTGAATGATGCCACCCAGGTGAGTGGACGTCAATCAGAATCAACCCGTGCCCAGTACAAGGAGGAAGACAGGGAACAGGGAGGCACCAAGAGCCACCCCGCGGCTGCACACTGGTCTCAGTGGTGCCGCCACACCACCCACCTGGCTCTGCTCAGAGCAGGTGGGGTGGGGCAGCACCCCCTCTAACAGCTATCAGACATAACGGTCTGGTATTAGTAACAGAGTAAGTAAACCTTGGAGACTAGCAGAAGTTCCCAGAATCTTCCATCTTCCTGCATGGCTGAGATAATCATCTGAAAGAGATTTGAATAACTAGACATCCACACCATAGCTTCAGGCAGTTAGAAGTGTCTACAGAGGTCATCGCAAAGCCACATTTCACACTTTCAAGCCAGCTGTGGGGTACAGAATCTTGCCTCTGACTGTCCATGGGCTCCCATGCCCTGACTTCACAATTTAATTCCACATCAGACATGAGGCCTCCTTGTGCAAGCCGTGAACTATGCCCTGCTCACCCCAGGAAGACCCTGGGCGTGGGGGAGTAGGCCACGACCTTTGCTTGGCACACTGTCCTCTTGTGCTGCTGGCTCCTGGCCTCTCAAAGCCTCTCCTGTCCCCTCCTTCTCTGTTGGTTCCAGCCACCCGCAGCCTTCGGGGCTCATCTGTTTTCTCCTAACAGCAGCTGCACCTCCTGCAATGTGGTGCTGCTCACTTAACAAAATGTCACACCCTCCCTGTTCTCCTCAGTCTTTTTCCTTCCTGACTTCTTTCGGTCCTTCTCTGACTTTCCTTTCTCTCCCTCCTCCATTTTCTCCCCCCACCCCTTGTCCTCTTCCTCCTCTCGCTCTTTGGCCTCCAATGATCAAGGGCTACCAAGGGCTACGTGTGTTTAGAAGCCTTCTTTCACTTAATCTTCCTATTAAATTGAGAATTCCCATCCCTTGAATAGAAGAGTGAAGTTCAAAGGACTGGTTTGTAAGGACTCTTCAGTTGGTAATTAGCAGAAAGGAGCTTTTGTTTTGTTTTTAAATAATCAGTATCCTCTTTGCGATGGAGCTCATTTCAAGTGCAAACTGAAATGAAGGACAGCCATGGCCCCTATGCCCCGAGCACATGGCTGGTTAGTGTGACAACACGGACAGCGCCTCCCTGTGCAGAAAGTGGTCATAACAGTGAAGGAGAAAATACAGCTAACTGCATCTGCCATGCAAACCATATTACAGAAACATCTAGAAGGGAAAAGGTTGCTGAGACCCTTTCCTGGCTTCCTTTGAGGTAGAACCTTCTCCCACCCAAAGGCCTCCTTCCTCCCACCCAAAGGCCTCCTTCCTAAGGCAATTGCCACCCTGCCTTGACCCTGAGCAGATGGAACGGAAACAGCTCGTAGAGGACAACAGGGATGGCCAGGGGCAGGAAAGCTGGAGAAAAGCATTGCAAGACCCTTCCCGGAGAGGTTGCACCCTGCCTGCCCCCACCCCAGCGGAGCCGAGTGGTGAGGAGGGCATTCACTTCAGTGTGTGTGACATCAAAACACAGAATGAACACACTTCAGCGTTGCGCCCACATTCTCACTTAGGACAAGCTGCGTTGCATAGCTCGATTCCGACTTAGCAAGGGACTCCACGAGCTGCTTGTGGTCCTGTGCTCAGAGGAGCTAAAGCCACATTAGAGTGAGACTAGATGGTACCTTGTGTCCCCCTCCACGGTGCAGCAGAAAACACTTTGCAAATGCTAGGAACCAGTATTGACCACGGCCAACTCAGGATGCAGTCACGTCTCTGCTACACACTAGTGGTGAGGCCTTGGCTGGCGTGTTCATCTCTTGGGTTCTTCCTCTGTGAGACAGGTAACAGCAAACTCTACCTCACAGGTTCAGCTAAGAATAAAATAACGAATGTGCATAAAGCACTCGGTGTGCTTCCAGCCACATTTTTATTCATTGTTATGACTATTTGGAAAGAAATTCACTATTATACTCCCTATAATGTTTTGTTCTATAATGTTCTATAATGTGCACTATGCTTTCTATAATGTATTGCTTGCATAAGGATTTTGTGGCTTAATTTTAATCCTTTGAACCTGACAAGAGAAGGTTCAAGGAGAATAATCTCTTTACCATGATTCAAATAACCCTCATTTAACATACTATTGCACACAGTGTAAATATCATCAATAAGTCATATCTTAAATATATTAAAGGGGTGTAACAACTGACACAGAGTTTGTGTGAGAGGTAAGAGCACTGGTGTGGGAGTCAGACCAGATCTAGCTACTTCTACATCCTAGCCTCAACTTTTTCGTATGAAAAGTGGGCACATCTTCACCCTCTCGCTTGTTGAGTATCTGCTGAGGGCCGCTGTGCAGCAGGCCCTGCTCAGGTGTAGTAGTGCAATTTGGTAGAGGTGAGAAAAATGGTGTAAAGCCCGCACCTCTGTGTCCCCCACACAGCTGGGACTCCGTAAGTAGCGGCTGCTGGATTTACGGAACACTCCCTGTGCTGGAACTGGAGTAGGGGTGGAATGGCATGGCCTTGTGGGAGGACAGACAAGGACAGATGGTGACAGCCCAGGGGCTCGGAGGCTCTACATGAGAGGCGCACACAAAGAGCAGGAAGGCTCAGAGAAAGGCAAGCTCTGCCTGAGAGCAGGAGGGATGTCTCAGCGCATCTCCTAGGAGAGGGTCGTGCACATGGCCAAAGCTGTCCTCTCGTTCCTTTCCTCAGCTACCTTTGCTGCTTGGAGACAGGATCCTTGAGGCCCAAGGCTTTCGTGCTGCCGGGTTGGGGGGGGTGGGTGGCTGCAGTCCAGGTGGAAGTACCCACGTGATCACTGGATGCTTTAGAAGCGGTGGAGTGGTTTAACCTGCCTCAGTTCTCCCTGCCTCTCAGGACGTGGAAACGTGGTTAGCTACCAGGTCCACGAAAATTTATGGCCTCTTTGCACCCTGGTTCAGGACAGCTGGACACAGAAATCAAACTGCATGTGAATACAGGGTCTCTGAGGATCCCAGAACTTCAGAGTAAGGAGCAGAAAGGAAAATCCAGCTAACAGAGACAGGTTGTGAGAAGTGAGGCAGCCACAGAAATGGAAGTGACGGGAGTTTGCAGGCACCCAAATTCAATCTGTCTGAACTGCCCACACCCTGAGCGATTCGCCAATCTCACCACCAGCTGGCGCTGTTGCCCCACCACTTTACCAACTTGCCAGGGGGGATTGCCAATTGCATCATTTTAGAAGCTTTTTTTATATAGCAAATCTGGAAAATATTATATTGTATCTTTATAATCTTGTTTAGTCTAAAATTGTGAAAGCAGGAAGGTACATGTAAAATGCAAGGCAAAGACAAGTGATATAAGACGAAAAGATTACTAAAAAGCAAAATCTTAAGCGATCGTCACACCTGCGACTTGCCCATGTCATAAGTGCAGGAACTAGGGCTGGGGAGATGGCTCAGTAGAATAAGTGCTTTCCTGGCAAGCGCAGGGACCTGAGTTCAATCCCTGGTTCCAAAGAAAAAGAAAAGTGAAGGAACTGATGCTGAGGGAGGGTAGTTAAGGTATATGAGGAGCACATTGCCTGCTAAGAGAAATCGAAACCCAGCTTCACCTGAATCCAAAAGACCATACTCTTTCCATCAGACCAGACCATCATTTATTACATAAAATAATGACAATTATACACTCATCGACACTTTTATATGCTAGGTGCCGTTCTATGCACTTTGTTGATATTAGCTCAAGTAACCCTCACTATATGAAATAGGCAGTGTCGCAGTCATTTACAGGGATGTACAAGGTCACACCATGAGCAGGCTGCTAGAGCCCGTGCACTTATGCAAGAAAAAGCCCATGCCATAAACAATGTGTTACTTCTAAAGAGCAAGATGCTCCTACCTTCTTTTATTTCCTCTATTTCTTTTCAGTCTATGAAACCTCAAGGCATCTTCCACCATTCTGAACAATTTCCAAAATGTTAATTTGGAATGTCTTTAAATAAATGCTGTACCGGTGCACAAAGGTACACCTAAGACGTGGAGGCTATAATACAGATCTAAAAGCACTAAAAGAACATTAATTTAGTAGGAGAGTTTTTTATTGAGGGCTTGCAAGTAGGGGTTGTATAGAGAAAGATGGAAAGACCAATGTGGGATTTTAAGAATGCAAGCAGGAATCATAATAACCCACAAGACCGTACAGTCTCATTTTCCCTCCAGGAGAGCAAACTTCATATTTCTTCTTCCAGATGCAATGCTTTTCATATTGCAGTGAACTCAATATATAGATGAATATATGTATATATATATATATATATATACATATGTATATGTATATACAAACATTGTATAGTTTTTCCTAATTCAAAGTTTGTAGAAAATATATGTACTAAGGCAGTAGCTTATTTTTCTTTCAAAGAGAGTTAATTATATCTTCTTTTGGGTGGATTGCTACATGTAAACAAAAATACAGTTGGATCAAATTCATAATTTTGTTAAAATCAATCCTTTAATTATCTTACCTAGCCTAGCAAATAATCTGCCAAAAGTTGACATCGTCTCAAATGATGATAGCTAGGTAAAGACTATGGGTATTTGTGCAATTCTAATCCTGTGTGTCTTCATTTTGCTGCTTCTCAGAGATGGTGAATTGGTATATCTTCTTAGTTTATAAAATTTGGGTCTCTGCCATTTAGTGGCTGTGTATCTTGGAGCAAGTAATTTAATTTCTCTGTACCTCAATTTCCTGACATGTGGAATAGAAGGAAAAAATCTTAGTTGTTTAATAAAGAGTGAAAAATCAAAAACCACAGAGGAATGAATAAACAAAGTATTACATATTCATGGAAAGGTCACACGCAGTATTATAGAGCCATTAAAAATACTCTATGAGGTGGCTTAAAAGGTGAAATGTTGCCTGGCAAGTGCAAGGGCCTGAGTTCAATCCCCGGTACTGGAAAAAAAAATTCAAAAAAAGGTGAAATGACTAGCCAACTCTGGTTGTGCATGTGTATAATCTCAGCATTTGGGAGGCTGAGGCAGGAGGATCCCTGTAAATTGGAGGCTGTTTTAGGCCACAAAGTGAGTTCAAGACCAGCCTTCACTGAATAAAGAAATCTTGTCTCAAAAAGATGAGAGAGGGGAAAAGACACATAGAAAGATAGAGGGGAAGAGAGAGAGAGATAGAGCGAGAGAGAGGGAGAGAAAGAGAGAGAGACAAAGACAGAGAGACAGAGACAGTGAGACAGAGAGAGAATATGTAAAAAAAATTCTCGAATATAGTCTGACACATAAAATTCATTCAGTAGGTTAGGTTTTGTTTTCTCATTTCATCATAGGCTATTTTCTCATCAACTTTGTTTCTGATGGAAAGTATTTCACAAGAATGGTTATAGTGATCTTCTAGTCTAGGGACTTACCTAATTTTTACCAATGTCTCCTTTCTCCCTGTTCCCTACAGAAATTACCTCAGTGACCAAGACTTGTGGAACCTGTGTAAGGGGCCCTCTGATATTGTTCCCTGGAATTTGACCCTCTTCTCCATCCTGCTGGTCATCGGAGGAATCCAGATGGTTCTATGTGCTGTCCAGGCGATCAATGGCATCCTGGGCACACTCTGTGGGGACTGCCAGTGCTGTGGCTGCTGCGGGGTAAGCTTGGTCTTTATCACTTCATCCCATCATCAGGGAGGCCACCTCAGGCTCCACAGGTACACGAGGAGGGTTGGTGAGTGTGGCCACCTGCAGGAGAACCCCGCCCAGTTGGAGCCCACAGTCGGCCCACTGGTCAGCTCAGGGAACAGGGATGCCGCGTTACTGCGTGTGTTGACACATCGGGGGTCATGCTGACCACAGCTGCCTGCCAAGTATCCAGCTGGCTTAGTCCTCAAGACAAAGGACTTCATCTGCTTTGGTGTTTATTCAAAGGCCCCCTGGAAATGAGCATGTGCTATTTGGCACAGGGCCAGGAGTAACACGTTAGATGTAGCCTGAGTGCCCAGATGTCCTCAGGTGAATGGTACATACCAAGGCAAAATCTATACTATAATGTCAAATACAAAGAAAAAAGTTATTTTTTCTGTGGATACTGGGGATCAAGCTCAGGACCTTGCACTTGCCAGGCAGTGCTGTTGCACTGAGCTGTGTCCCCAGATTGAGAAGGTCACTCAAGGCTCAGTCTTTAAATATCATCATAGGGCCAGCCAAATAGCTCAGCAGATTAAAGTGCCTGCTTAGGCAGATGCAGGGGATGGGGGTTTGATCCCTGGGCCTGCTGTGCTGGCCCTGACCCTGGGGTGCACTGAGACCTTGATTGAGACTGGGCGTGGGGCACAAGCCTGTAATCGCAGTGCTTGGGAGGCTGTAAACAGGATGATCCCTATGAGTCCAATCTACACAGTGAGACCCTGTAGACCCTGTAGACCCTATCCTAAAATACCAAAAAAAATCATAAATGTGCAAAAAGTAAAAATAAACAGAGGCAGTGAGATGGTTTGAGTATTTTAACAAATGACCAAATTATATAAGAAATTATTCACATATCCACAGATGTATTAAAAAGTACAAACAAGAAAAAATTAAGTAGGGGGCCTGCCCCTTAACTCAGTTCTTTTTTTTTTTTTTTCATAATTTTATTGAGAAACAAATAGCAATGAGACAGTTTCAAATCAAATTG